CTTCAGCCTGCTCTAGCCCTGGTTGTTGCAGGTATTTGAGGGATGAACCAGTAGATGTCAGTCTCGCTTTCAAATCAATCAATCAATACATCTTTTTTTTTTTTTTTTTTTTTTTTTGACGGGCAGAGTGGACAGTGAGAGACAGAGAGAGACAGAGAGAAAGGTCTTCCTTTGACGTTGGTTCACCCTCCAATGGCCGCTGCGGCCTGCACACTGCGCTGATCCGATGGCAGGAGCCAGGTGCTTATCCTGGTCTCCCATGGGGTGCAGGGCCCAAGCACTTGGGCCATCCTCCACTGCACTCCCTGGACACAGCAGAGAGCTGGCCTGGAAGAGGGGCAACAGGGACAGAATCCAGCACCCCGACCAGGACTAGAACCCGGTGTGCTGGCGCGCAAGGCGGAGGATTAGCCTAGTGAGCCACGGCGCCAGCCTCAATCAATAAATCTTAAACACACACACACACACACACACAAAACCTATTCCTTGTCTCATATTCCTTTTCCTAGTTAATGGCATCATTATCTACTCAGTCACCTATGCAGAAAATAAAGAGATCTCTTCCTAAAAGACTTTAAGGTTCTGGAAGTTAGGGTCTGAGCTGCCTTTTTGATTTTGTGCCCCTGTATTTCATATATTACTTGGAACATAAAAGATTCTCAACAAGCAATGACTAGGAGGCACTCAGATTCCTAATCTACTCTTTCTGATATCATGTCAGTGTTTACCTCGGGTCATTGTGAAGACCAGCTATCTTCTCAATAGCAATAGAGTATAGCTATGTTCCTGATGTAAAAGGGCCAGTCTCCAGACAATTTTGAGTCTTGTCTTCATTCATTCATCCTCTCTTGTCCTCATAATGCTGACAAATCTTTGGGATCAAACATCCTAAAAGTTTTATGAGTACATCTCATTGTCACAGCTCACCTTCAAATCCAACACGCTCAAGCAAGTTCAATGGGTACCAAATTAAAGGTTTGTTCCCAACTGGAAGCAGAGGTTTGGGAATGCTGGAAGTCAGGTCTGTCATCCGAGATCCCCCACCAACTGCCATCACTACTGCTTGAAACTCCATTTTTACAAACTGGAAGCACAGAAAAAAACAATGAACAAAAAAAGATATAGCAAAAGTCAAAGTGCTAACACAGTACTAACCATTTTTATCTATGGTACTCATATCCACTTACATCAAATGCATCACTTCCAATTCTATCTTTTCATTCTCTTTAACCAACACATACCCTCAGCTCCATCCTTGGTAAAAGTAGGCAGATATGATTGAAAAAAAAAAAAATAAACCCGGGCCTTGCTTTTGATTTTGATTTGTTCATAATTAGGAGAAGACAAATTCAGTAAATTATAATATACTACCTTTAGTGCCATGGCAGAGATACATCCAAGCTGCAGGGGGAATACAGGGAAGGGAAAACCTAAATCTTCCTAGAAAACACAGGGAAGGTTTTACAGGAAGGCAAGGCTTGAGCTGATTCTGAAGAAGTAACAGTTTATCGAGTAGGCTTCTGACAGGTGAAATTGCTGAAAACATTTAAAAATGTATGACTTAAATTACCAGCAGAAACATAACCATGGTAGCCTTCTGAAAAGTAGGAAATGACCTTAAGGTGCCTCCAACAATTTAGCCATCTGCTCTAGTCTTCTCATTACCCCTAATTTTTTTTTAAGATATATTTTTTGAAAGTCAGAGTTACAGAGAGAGAGAGAGAGAGAGAGAGAGAGAGAGAGATCTTCCATCTACTGGTTCACTCCCAAGTGGCCCCAATGGCCAAGGCTGGGCCAGGCTGAAGCCAGGAGCTTCAGTTGAGTCTCCCGCATGGGTGGCAGGGGCCCAAGCACTTGGCCATCTTCTGCTGTTTTGCCAGGCCATCGGCAGGGAGTTGGATCAGAGGCAGAGTAGCCAGAACTTGAACCAGCGTTCATACGGGATTGCCGGCATCACAGGTGGTGGCTTTATACTCTACACCACAAAGCCCCAACATTACCCCTAATTATAAACTCAAATGTGGGTTTGTATCTGAACTATATTTGCAGAACCCAATTACAGAAAAAGACAAAATTTTTAATTCCTTTTATCAAAATCAAGGTAATAAATTGATTTTTGCAGTTACCACAGAACATAGGCATGGTAAAAGATCACAAATCCATATTGACTGAAACTGAAAGGAGCCGGCATCATGGCACAGTAAGTTAATCCTCTACCTGCAGATCTGGCATCCCATGTGGGCGCTGGTTCTAGTCCCAGCTGCTCTTCCTCCAATCCAGCTTTCTACTGTGGCCTGGGAAAGCAGTAGAAGATGGCCCAAGTACTTGGGCCCCTGCACCTGCATGGGAGACCTGGAAGAAGCTCCTAGCTCCTGGTTTCGGATTGGCGTAGCTCCAGCTATTGCAGCCAACTGGGGAGTGAACCAACACAAGGAAGACCTTTCTCTGTCTCTCCTTCTCACTGTAACTCTACCTCTCAAATAAACATAAATAAAATCTTTAAAAAAAATAAACTGAAAGTATTCTGATTTGATTTTTATTTTAATAAGAGTACAAAATGGGGAGCCAGCATTGTGGTGTAGTGAGTAAAAGCTGCCGCCTGCAATGCCAGCAATCTAATATGGGTGCCAGTTCAATTCCTGGCTGCTCCACTTCCAATCCAGTCCCCTGACAGTGTGCCTGGGAAAGCAGCAGAGGATGGCCCAGGTGCTTGGTCCCCTGTATGCACGTGAGAGAACTGGAAGAAGCTCCTGGCTCCTGGCTTCAGCCTGGCCCAGCACTGGCTGTTGGGGAGTGAACCAGTGGATGGAAGATCTCTGTTTCCATGTAACTCTGCTTTTCAAATAAATACATCTTTAAAAAATGTAATATTCAGAAAAAGGAAATTTATTCAACACCAAATTGGCAAATAATGTACTTTTACCAAAATTATAATCAGTCCTAGGCTCCATACATCAATATCTTGGCTATAGCACTTAACGCTGAGGACATTCAAGGCACAAAATGATGTCTCACTTGCAATATTTACTGTTTAGATATGATCATTTTTATTCCAGCCAGTATTACCTCTGATGGAATTAAACTTCAATTTGGCATTCTATAACTTTAATCACATCAGATATTATTAAAAGTTTTGTGGACCCTTAAGAGTCAAAACATCTGAGTTTGAGTTCTAGTTCTGCCACTCAAAGATGGTGTGACTGGGGTGGGGAGGGTCTGCCATTAAAACTCCCAGTGTCCTCAGTTCCTAGAGGGAAGGCTAGTGTTAAGTTACAGATCCCAGAGCCAGGCCGCCTGAGTTTCAATTCTAGCACTACCATTTATTAGCTGTGTGAACTAGGGCAAGCTCCCTAACTTTCCTGTGCCTCATTTTTTTTTTTTTCATTTTATAAGATAGAGATAATTACAGTTTCTACTTCACAGAGTTGTTGTTAGGATTACGCTACTTGTTCTACATAAAGTACATAAAATAATGTCTCTCTCAGGACAAGCACCATGAGTATTTGGTATTATCAGACAGAGGCTAGATCAAGGAAAGCCTCTTGTGCCAGCTGAACCATGCTGTTTCAGAATTCTCCCTGCATTGCTGTTCTTGCTCCCCAGGGATTCTTTCTCCTGTACCTGGATATCAACCACTAAACTTTTAAGGAATCATCTTGCCTCCGAAGCCACTGCTAACGCTTCCAAGTCCTCTGGTAGAAGCGACTCCTTCCTCCTAGAAGCCTCTCCTCTACCGTGAACAGATTGCCTCCAGCCTGTACAGGCTGCACCGTACATACATACATGTTTAAGAGTCCACTTAAGAACGACATTCTTAAATGTCTACTTGAGAGTTCCTTTAAGGAAAGAACTGCGTGAGCCCCATCACTGTATTCTCATTCAGATGCCAGGCACTCAATTACTGTTTCTGAAGTGAGGCTCTGTGAACCTCGCAAGAGCTCTGTGTAAGCGCTCAGTTCCGACTTGCGCAGAGGGGCACTAGCACCCGGGCCACTGGCCACTGAGGCTTCCCTCAAGGAGGCTGCGGGTGAAGAAAGGTAGCCTAGGAATCAAGAACAGGCATCACGAGCAGAACTAAGCGTGACATCAGGCAGACGGTCAAGTCTCTCGGTATCACTGCCAGGCCTCTGGGTGCCGAGAGTCCAGGAAAGGCGTCTCGCTCGCTGGCCGCCCGAGCTTTCCAAAGGGCGTGCGAGGCGTCTCAGGCACGCCGGGATCTCGGCACTCGCTGCCTCCCGCGGCTTACCCAGAGAAGCACGGTACATCCTCCTAACTGGCCTGCCAGCTCGCTGTCCGCTGCCCGAGCGCAGGGGCCGCCCTCTATTCCTCTTTGTAGTTCACTGCCCTGCACCCAAACGACCAAAGGCAGCCTGAAGAAATGAATGAAGGGCCAAAGTGAGAGCCCAGCCACGGTAGTACGGGCGTATGGTCCCGGTCCCGGGTCTGGTGCTTGCTCATCCTGACTAGGAACAAAACCTCCCCTCCCCGAAATTCGGTCCCGCTGTTGCACATGGTGCTTGGCTCGGATTTTCCCCAACCTCCCCTGTAGCTCAGACACTTGGCTCCCCGGCCGAGGCGAGCAGGGACTTGGGCTGGCGACCTCGAGACTCGACATCCCCCCTCCCCGTTCCCTTCGGTTCGGCTCGGCGAGCCCGCCTCCCTCAGATGAAGAAGGGCCTCTGGCCCTCACGGCGCTGCTCACCCGGGTTAGCCAGCTCGTGCGCGGCCTGGGAGGGCAGAAAGCGCAGCTGTACCTCAGCTCCCGGCGTGCAGCCACCGCTCCCAGCACTCACCACGCCGCCTCTGACTGACAGCCTAAGGGCGCAGGCGCGCGATGGCCGAGCAGATCGATGGGACGCGCAGGGCAGACCAGGGAGAAGGGACGAGCGCCGGGCGATGAATTAAAGAGGCCCCTGGCGAGCTGAGAGGAGGCGGCGCGGAGGCGGCGCCATGCTGGATGCTGCCGCCTGGAGCGCTCCAGAGACTACTGCCCGGGTTTGGATTTCGCCTCTGGGCCCTGGCGTCCCTTCACAGACCACCACGCTAGTGCGTGCCCCTGTCGGAGCTCAGATGGAACAAGTCGCCATCTCTTCCTTCAGAATTCCTATTCTAGGAGCTGGCCCCCAACTACGACTCCGTGAAAAGAGAGCCCTTGGGTGCCACAACTTTTGACTAGTGGCGAAAAAACCCATCAGATGCCCTCGCAGGCCAGAACATCCTAACCCGAGGACCCAGCCATCCTGGGAGTAGGGACGGAGGTCAGTGAGGACCTCCCTGGGAAAGTGAGCTGAACAGTGGCTTGAAGAGGAAGAGTCGGGTGCATGTCTTGGGTAAAAACTTTCTTTTCTTTTTTAAGACTTATTTTATTTACTTGAAAAGCAAAGTTATAGAGGCTGGCGCTGTGGTGCAGGGGTTAACTCCCTGGCCTGAAGCCCCGGCATCCCTATGGGCGCCGGTTTAGTCCCCGCGGCTCCACTTCCAATCCAGCTCTCTGCTGTGGCCTGGGAAAGCAGTAGAAGATGGTCAAGTCCTTGGGCCCCTGCACCCGCATGGGAAGACCTGGAAGAAGCTCCTGGCTCCTGGCTTCGGATCGGCACAGCTCCAGCCATTGCGGCCAGTTGGGGGTTGAACCAGCGGATGAAAGACCTCTCTCTCTCTCTCTCTCTGTCTCTTTCTCTCTCTCTGCCTCTCTGTGTAACTCTGACTTTCAAATAAATAAATAAAAATTAAAAAAATAAAAATAAAAGTTAGAGAGAGAGAGGTCTTTGATACACTGGTTCCCTCCCCAAACGGCCACAAAAGCAGGGGACTGAAGCCAAAAGTTTTATCTGGGTTCCCACTCGGGTGAGGGTCCCAAGCACTTGGACAATCTGCTGCTGCTTTCCCAAGCACTAGCAGGGAGCTGGATCAGAAGTGGAACAGGGGAGCAATTCTCAAACATTTTGGTCTCTGGACCCTTTACATTCTTAAAAATGATTAAGGACCCCAAAGAGCTTTTGCTTATATGGATTATATCTACTAGCATTTATTATATTAAAAATTTCAACCAGAAATTTAAAACAGTAATTCACCTCAAAAATGAAAATAATATACATGTTCTCATATGTAGTTTTAAAAAGATAATTTTATACACACACACACACACACACACACACACATAGACAATTCCAATTATAAATAGTGGTTGGTAGGGGTGAGCATTTGGTGTAGCGATTAAGCCATCCCAGCTAGTACACTTGCATCCCACCTTGGATGGAGTATTTGAGTTTGGTTCCTGGATCCAGCTCCTGACTCCACTTTCAGGTAGGTAATGCAGACCCCGGGAGGCAGCAGTGATGACTGAGTAGTTGATTTCTTGTCACCCATGTGGGAGAACAGGATTGAGTTCCCAACTGGGGATATTTGATAAGTAAACCAGCAGATGGGAGTTCTCAGTTTCTGTCTCTCTCTCTCTCTGCCTCTCAAATCAATAAAAGCAAAAAACAATAAAGCCACTGCTTGGTAACATCAACATATCAATGAAAAAAATGTAACATTATTTTCAAAATGTTAAGTTTTGTGAAAAGAATGCCATTATCACACCTTTTTGCAAAACTCTTTGATGTCCTAAAACAGCTGGATTCTTCTGTCAATTGATACGTTGTTTTGGTTCAGTTAGATGGTGAAAATCTGACTTCACGCAGATACACAGTTGGAAAAGATAAATTTTAATAGCCTTTTCAGATAATTGTAGGTATTCTTTGATACTATATCAAAACTTAGTAAGTCATACTTTATTAAAGGCCTGTTACAACATAGAATCTGAACTTACATCAATAAACATTTCATATTCTGTCACAACAATAATTGTACTTTGAATGTTTCTTTTTTTAACCCATGCATGGTTTGCATGGTTGGTATATTGATCATTTGTAAGATACTGTTTCACTGACTTACATAGATTTTCCCCAAACTGATTCATTATAAAAATATTTTAAAGGGGCCAGCACTGTGGTGTAGCAGGTAAAGCCACCACCTGCAGTGCCAGCATCCCATATGGGCACCGGTTCCAGTCCCGGCTGCTCCTCTTCCCATCCAGCTCTCTGCTATGGCCTGGGAAAGTAGAAGATGGCCCAAGTCCTTGGGCCCTGCACCCGCGTGGGAGACCCAGAGGAGGCTCCTGGCTCCTGGCTTCTGGCTTTGGATCAGCACAGCTCTGGCTGTTGCGGCCAACTGGGGAATGAACCAGCAGATGGAAGACCTTTCTTTCTCTCTCTGCCTCTGCTTCTCTGTGTAACTCTTTCATATAAATAATAAAATAAATCTTCAAAAAAATCACATTTGTTAATAGCACCACCAATCTCATCAGAAATGTTCTTAAACATTAGAAAGCTGATAAGCTTTATGATGACTAATGCAAATTTTCCAAAATTCTAATTTTCTTTTGAAAGCTCACATATTATCACTGGCAGCAAAATTCTGTTAGTGGATTTCCTTGAAGCGACTGGCTCACTTTGTTTATTTTGATATATTGTTAGCCATAATTTTCAGTTTTGTTTTTTTTTTTTTTTTCAGATAAATACAGTGTTCCATGAAAAGAGTTCAAAATGGGGCAAGGGAGCCCCTCTGGGGTTGTGATGTAGATGGTAAAAAGCCGCCAACTATGACACTAACATCCCATATGGGCATTGGTTTGTGTCAGATGTTCCACTTCTGATCCAGCTCCCTGCTAATGGCCTAGGAAAAGCAATGGAAAATGGCCCAAGTGTTTGGCCTCCTGCCACCCATGTGGGAGGCCCAGATGAAGCTCCTGGCTCCTGGCTTTGGTCTGGCCTAGTACTGGCCATTGCAGCCATCTGGGGAGTGAACCAGTGGATGGAAGATCTCTTTTTCACTCTGTCTCTCCCTCTCTCTGTAACTCTGACTTCCAAAATAAATAATTTTTTTTTAAAGTTCAAATCAAAACTCAATCACACAAGAGCTTTTCCTAGAGAATACTATTATACTTTTGCATGCATTGTATTCTGTGAGTAAACACACAGAATATTAAAAAGCTGTGTACTCGAGGGTTAAGATTTACTGACAGGAGCCCTGCAAGAGCCTTAGGGATTCCCAGTCGTCCATAGAGCACACTTTAAGGGCTTATGGAGAGCAGGCATTTGACACAGTGGTTCAAATGCTGCTGGTATTCAGTTCAATTCCTGATTTCTTGCTTTTTAAAAGTGGCTTCATTATTTTAAAAAGTATGAATCAAAATTGACATCATAATAATAAAATGTTCCTAATAGAACATTTCAAATAAAACAACTTAAAAAATGCTTTTGGGGATACCCACATCTCATATTGGAGTGCCTAGGATTGAGTCTGGCTACTGTATTTCAGATTCCAGTTCTCTGTTATTTCAGACCCTGGGAGGCAGCAGGTGATGGGTTCTTGCCACTTACATGAGAGACTCAGCTTGAATTCCAGGCCTCACTTTGGCCTGGCCCAGCCCCAACTATTGCAAGCTTTTGTTTATATATATTATATAGAATGAGGATATTTTGCTGTCTACTTCCCTGCCTTTCAAATAAGTAACACAATAAATTAAAATTATTTTTAAAAAGACTTTAAGCCTTTTGCCACCTTGTCTGAAGTCAAATGAGCCCAGATTTCAAAAGAGGCTGCTTCTAGTGTCCTCCTCCTCTGTGACAAAAAGAAGGTCTGATTGGAACTCAGTATGACCAATGAAATCACCAAAGGCAGCTCTTCTCAGCAGATCTGGAAGCTGATCAAAGGTGGACTGATCATCTGCAAGCTTGTGACTTTCCATTCCAGGCTCGGTCCTGGAAAGTCATCTTGGCCTGCAGGACGGGTAATGAAAGGGCACCCCCAGTGCTCAGATGCCAGACAGGTAATCTGAATGAGAAGGATGTGACTTCTGTGCCAGCTGCTCAGAAGATACTGGGGATCTATGAAGACTGGCTACCATGCCTATCATAACCTCTGCTGACAGTGAAGGGAAAACATGTTTAAAAACAAGTGAATTCTCAAGAGGTAGACATTGGCAGAATGTGGGAAGAATATTTGTGAACCGAGGCCCAACTTTTGAAAAATGTGTTCTGTCTTCCACAGTTTAGAGAGCTTGTCCTTCTTGAACTATTCCCCTGCTTCCCTGCCTCCTCTCACCCCACCCCCGACCCTCAGGAGAAAAATGAAGTAATCACAGAAGGCAGATGGGGCCTGTGAGAAGCTCTTGGCTAAGGACTGTAGGTCTAAAACCAAGGAAGTGCACAAGAACCATGAAGAGCGCCTTCATGCCAAGAAAAGAGGAGACCAGCAAGGCTCTGTCCAATGAGGAAGAGACTAAGAAATAAAGTTCCCCCTCTCTTGTCCCCACACAGTGGCCTCAGCGATTACAATGGATCAATTATTGAAATAAAACAAGTTCTATTTGCAAAAGAGAAGGAACTCACTGGTTCCTTCTGCTGGCTCCCACTGCTTCTAGTACATACATTATGCCACTCACCTTAAATAAAAAATGGTCATTCCCTTTTTCATGTCATCTCTGTCACAGTAGGAACCCTTTGAGGATAAAAGCTTTATTTTATTTAGCTTTAGCTCCACTCTCCCCAAGATCTAGCACAGGACCTGGTATGTGCTATGTGAATAGAATTGAAATGAACTGAGAATGTCTCATAAATTTTCTTTTGGCCTCCCCATTTGGTGATGGGAAAACTGGGCTGAGAGCCTAGGTCACTGACATCTCCTTTTCTTTTCATTAAGTCAAGTCATGTTATTATCCCTCATGCTTAGCCTCAAGCTTATTATTATTATTATTTGTTAAGTTCACAGGAAATACCTAGTAAATTCTTATTAAATGTAAGTTGCAATCTATAATGTTTGTTTTCTGTTCACAGTGATTGTTTTCAATTTTTACCCAAGGGATGTGTTTATGTCTTGGGGAGGGTAGTAAGGGGAGGGAATATTTAAGAAGGGCAAACTTTAAACTGTGGGAGACAAAAGAAACCTTTCAAAAGTTGGGCCTTGGCTCACAAATATTCTTCCCACAGTCTGCTAGATGCTCTCTTTGGGAATTTGCTGGCCACATCACAATATTCATCTACTCCTTTTGGCTGTGGACTTGTCAGTGAAATAGGGAATTATTGTTTTTAGCATGCTGAGTGAAAGACAAAATTGAAAAGAGAAACTCTACTTTTTGGCAGTCAATGGCAGATCTCAAATATTTATATCTTATTTTTGTTCATAAACCCAGTTCTTGCCTAGTAGAGTCATGGTAAGTTAGAGAGCAAATAATGCTACAGCATTTAATATAAAGAGCATGGAAAGAATTTTCACCACCTAGGACTTCAATATTTCTTTTCAAGCATGCAGAATTTTCATTGGTGGTGGTTTTAATAGTCACGATCTGGATTCATATTTTAAACTGATGGGCCAGTTTATGTGATTTAATCAATCGGGTTCTTTTCCCTCACTTTATTGTAAACAAAAATTTCCAGATGGCTGATCTTTCTCCTGTGTTTTTTAAATTGGAAAATATGGTTTTGGAGACCCAGCCTTTATTCATTTAGCAACTATTTATTGAGTGCCTATTATATACCAAGTACTAAGGAGAGTTTTAGCCTCTTGGGATGCATTGATGAGCAAAATAAAGATCCAGCCCATATGGACCTTACATTCTAGCAGGAAGGCAGTATAAATCTTGAAGTTAAATAATAAGCAAGTAAAGTTACAGTATATTAAAAGGTAAAATGTACTTTGGGAATAAGAAAAAGTTGGGCAGGAAGAAATGGTGGGGAGAGGGAGAACACCACACTGAAAGCTATATGGTGTTTTTTTTTTTTTTTCTTCTTGTTTTTGTTTTTTGACAGGCAGAGTGGACAGTGAGAAAGACAGACAGAAAGGTCTTCCTTTGCCGTTGGTTCACCCTCCAATGGCCGCCACGGCCGGCGCACCGCACTGATCCGATGGCAGGAGCCAGGTATTTATCCTGGTCTCCCATGGGGTGCAGGGCCCAAGTACTGCACTCCCTGGCCACAGCAGAGAGCTGTGTCTGGAAGAGGGGCAACCGGGACAGAATCCAGCGCCCCGACCGGGACTAGAACCCGGTGTGCCGGTGCTGCAAGGTGGAGGATTAGCCTAGTGAGCCGCGGCGCCGGCCACTATATGGTCTTAAAGTCTTATAGAGGCTATGGAGATTTTGGGCTTGTGTTTGATTTAAATCTTTCTAAACTTTCTATTTAGTAACTTTAGAAGCAAATACAAAAGGAGTAGCTGACATTAGTAAAAATGGTGGAGTAAAGTCCTCCAAAACCACTCTCTTTCATATGAGAATACTGTCAAAATTGTCAAATTTTTTTTTTAGATGTGCATCATAAGCAGTGATCAAACCATGTCATTTCTTTCAAAATCTGTTGGTCATTGCTCATCCTTTGTTCAGTTTATACAGACACTAAAGAGTATAGTTGTATTGCTTCCTTGTCGTCCAGTGATACAAGCACATGGCAATTTACAAAAATGGTTAAAAAAGAATTGGTCAACAAAATGAAAGTGCAGCAAAGAAATGAAAAATGATAATGCTGGAAGTGGAACTAAAATTGAGAGTAGATGGGGTTAGAGAAAAAATAGCTGATTGTGGGAATGCTGACCCTGCTGTCATGATGGACCGTGGGTATGCAGCCAGAGGAATTTAGTCAACTTATCTACATTTATGAAGAAAGTGTTAATAAAATGGATGAGGATGTCCCAAAAGAAGCAATGGCAGCAAAAACCTTCACATTAAGGGAATTCATGAAACTGAAAATATAGAGAATAAAATGTTACTACCTGATACAAACTTAGAAAGGAATGTGACAATTTTTCAAGGCATAGAGAAATTGCTTGTTGCAAATTATAAGATGTACCACAAGAAAAAAGAGGCAAGCTCTTTTCAAAGTATTCTCATTAAGATTTTTCATTAAAGAAAGCAATTTAATCCCCATTTTTCCTAATGCTTTATATCACAGTCCACTAAATAATTATTACTTTTGTTGTTTCTCTTATATTTCCCTATAATTTATAGTTGACAGTGGCAGAGTTTTTTGGAACAAAAATTGTTATTTTTATTTTCATTTGAAAGCCAGAGAGACAGAGAAAGATCCTCAACTCACTGGTTCATTCCCCAAATGCCTACAACAGCCAGGGGTGGGCCAGGCCAAAGCCGGTAACCTAGAACCTAATCTGGGTCTCCCATGTGAATGGAAGGCGTCCAAGAACTCAAGCCATCACCTGCTGCTTCTCAGAGTGTACATTAGCAGGAGGCTGGAATCAGAAATAGAGCCAGGACTCAAACCCAGGTAATTTGATGTGAGGTACAGACATCTCAAGTAGTGTCTTAACCACTAAGCCAACACTCATCCCATGAATTAGTTTCTTTATACACCACAAACAACCTTATGAGGGAGGCATTACAATTATCCTTATTTTAGGTGGAAATCTGGGGGCCAGCATTATGGCATGGTGGATTAAGCCTGTGACACTGGCGTCCTACATGGGTGCCAGTTTGTGTGGCTGCTCCATTTCTGATCTAGCTCCCTACTAATGCACCCAGGGATGCTAATGCCTAAGATGGCCCAGGTACTTGAGCCCCAGCACCAATGTGGGAGCCTCAGATGGAGTTCCTGGCTTTGGCCTGGCTCAGCCCTGGCCATTACAGTCATCTGTGGAATCAATCAGTGGATGGAAGATCTGAAGGTCTCTCTGTAACTCTGCCTTTCAAATAAATAAATATTTTTTTAAAGGTGGAATCTGGGGGAGAGCCGTTGGACCAGTGGTTAAGTCACTGTGGGGGATGCCTGCATCCCACACTGTAGGGCCTAGTTGGAGTACTAGGTACTCTGTTTCCAATCCAGCTACCTGCTGATAGGCATCAGGGAGGCAGCAGATGATGGTTCACGTACTTGCATCCCTGCCACCCATGTGAGACCTAGATTGAGTTTATAGATAACAGACCCTCTTCAAATTCTAGCGTCATCACTTACTACCCATCCTGGGCAAACTACTTAAATCCTCTTTTCACTAGGTTTCTAGAAATGGGCATCTAGAAAGGGGCATAATAACAGTATTTCATAGGTTTGTTGAGAAGATAAACAAGATAATAAAGCAAGCACTTAGCACACTGCTTTGCACTAAGAGGGTTATCAGTCACTGTCAAACTTGTATTTGAAAATTGTTCACTTCAGAAGGAGAGAAACAGAGACAAACATACAGAGAAAGACAGCTTCCATCCTCTTCCTCTGGTTCACTCTCCAAAAGCCCACAATGGTTGGGGTTGGGCCCAGCTCAGAAACAGGAGCCAGAAAGGTGTTCCAGGTCTCCCATGTATGAGGTGAGAACCCAAACACTTCAGCCATCTCTGCCATCTTGCAGGGTCTGCATTGGTGGGAAACTGGAGACAGGAACTGGGGCTGGGAATCAAACCCAGGTACTTCATTGTGAGGCGTGGGTGTCTCAACTGCTAGGCTAAATGCCTACTCTCAAGCTTTTATTATTTTAATACTATGCAAAGATTGTTATAAATCAATAGGAAAAATAAAATCTACCAATAAAAATGAACAAAACACACAAATGCTAATTAATAAAGAAAACTGACAATATAGTAAATAAAGCAATGGAAATTAAAATAAAAATCATGCCACTTTTCAGGACATCAAATTGTTTAAAATATTAAATGTTAATGCCTATAGGTGCTAAGGGTTTAGGAAATAGATACTAAGGGGAGTGAAAAATTAATTTATCCTTACCACAGGACAAGTCAGCAGTTTGATAGTGATTTCTGGAAGTTACTCCAAGGAAATAATAAAATAGGTAATGCAAAAGTTGTATAAGACAATATTTATGGCAACTGGCTGGAAGGGGCTGGGAGACTGAGGAGGGCGGTAGAATGCAATTTACTGTGGAATACTTAGGGACAGAGTGAGGTGTTGGGTGGCTACAAGACAACAGATCCTTGTGGCACCAAGCAAGATAAAAGTATTTTATAGATAGAAGCAGTCTGTGGCTAATTGGAGTGCACCTGAACTTCTACTATTTATTTAAAGTGTTTATTTATTTGAAAAGGTGAGAGAGCAAGCGAGCGAGCTTGCTTTTATCTGCTAGTTCACTCCCCAAATGGTCACAACAGCCAGGAGCCAGGAACTCCATCTAGGTCTCTCACACAGATGGCAGAGACACAAATACTTGGGCCATCACTTACTGCTTCCCATGGTGTGCATTAGCAGTTGGCTGGATTGGAAGAGGAGGCTGACTTGATCTCAGGCACTCTGATACAAAATGCGAATATCCCAAGTGGTGGCTTAACTATTGCACCATGTTGCCAGCCCCTATTTTATTATTATTATTATAGTTATTATTTTATTTGAAAGGCAGAGCTAGAGATCAAGCTTTGATTCACTGCTTCACTTCCCAAATGCCAGCAACATCCAGGGCTGGGCCAGGCTGAAGCCAGCAACCAGAAACTCAATCAGGATAATCAGGATCTCTTTCCAGGATGGCAGGGACCCAAGTGCTTGATGTTTCATCTTCTATCTCTCAGGGCATGCAATAGCAAGAAGCTGGATGAGAAGAGGAGTAGACTGGAGTCAACCAGGCACTCTGATATGGGATGCAGGCATCCTAAGTAGTGCTGTAACTGCTGCACAAAATGCCCGTTCCAGCACCTGGCCTTTGAAAAGAAGCAACATTTCAGACGTTAGATAAGGGACATCCCAAGGTCTGGCCCGGCAAGACAAGCCTGGCAGGTAATCTTAAGGACTTTTTTTTTTTTTTTAAACCCTGTCATAGTGCTGAGGATGACCTCCAGGAACACCTGCGGCAGCTGGAGGGCAAGATGATGGTTATGTCCAAGATGGTTGCAGTCACGTCAAGCTAAATCCCCAGTCTCCCTAGGAATTCAGCATCTCATCAGGTCCCACTGGTTAGAATGATCCTGTTCTGACCCCTGATCATATGATACTAGTATGTGCATTTTTCCTTTTTAGATCTTACACAGATGGTATTAAATGTAGTCTTTATGGTTATTTGGTTTGCTATATGTGTCTCCCATTAGTTTAAATACCACGAAGGCAGAAGTTATCTCTGCATTAGCTACTGTTTTATCCCTGCACTTAGAACGGTGCCTGAAACAGGTGCTGGATACATATTTGTTTACTGAATGAATGATCAGTTAAATGCAAAAAAGACTACAAAACATACACTGCAGGAGCGAACAGGCCACGAAGACGAGGCCAGCACCGGGCCTGGAAGCTACCTCCTCCAGGCAAAGGACAGAGACAGGAAAGGTGCGCCCCCTACCGGCGAGAGATTGCTGGGAACAGCAGAGCCGGCTGAGAATGGAGGTCTCCGGTTCTAACTCTCAGTTCCCTGGGTGGTCGGGAAGGGGCCTGGCAGGCACAGGATGGGGGCCATTGGGGAAGCTGAGCTGGGGTCCTAAGCTGTGTTTGGGGGAGCTCTCCAGCTTCAGGGTGAGCGCGGCACAGAGAAGGGCTCAGCGCCACTTCCCAAATCTCACGGCCAGGACAGTGTCAGGGCTCACCCTAGAGGACAACGCGGGGAACAGCTGCAAGGGTGGGACAGCTGGGACCCCGGGGCTGTGCTTGAGCTGTGCCTGCCCACAGTGGAGGAACTGTACCCACACGGGATCCCTCACGGTGATTGGTCCTTACACACTGCACCTTGGCTGGGTAGCAGCTGCACGTAGGTTGGGGAGTGGCAGTGAGGTGGGCTCCCCCTGGCTGTCAGCCAGCTAACTTTGCCTTCTGTTATGAAATTCTTTTACCCACTTGATTCCAAAAGCGGCCTCCCATCCTCAAAATCGAAAGCCACACGCATCCCAGAGTGATGCTAGGGCAGGCCTCCCCTCCTCTTCCCTTTCTGAGCAGGATCGTCTTTAAGTCCATGCTCAGCTCCACTGAATGTCTGTCACCAAGAAACTTGACACACTTCTCCTTGGCTCCCCCAGCAGAGCCCAGAAGTCCTGGAAGAGCCTTCTCTAGCTCTCTGGCGTACAGCAATTTCCTTGTGTGCTTCCTGTGCCTAGCACAGAGCCCAATAAACAGACCCTATGAGCCAAAAAACATTCTGAAGGAATGAATTCATTCATTTATTCAACTTTCCCATGTGTAAGGCCTTCTTCTGAAGGCATGTCCCAGAGGCCCTCGAGCGCAGGGCTGGGGCAGGAACGTGCAGAATAGGCTTTATTTTTGAGTTGGATATTGGGGAACTGTTCATTTCAGAGAGGATATAACTGGCCTTAAACTGTGCAAAAAACAGCAGACGGGAAGTCAGGCTGCAGGTGATGCAGGAGTGACTGTGGGGTAGTGGTGATGGGTTTCATGTTGAATGGACATAGCTTCTGAGCCAGGGCAGGTGGCGACACTTTGTCAGTTGAGACCGGTTTGGAGGAAGGGCAGAGCTCACTCCTCGGTTATGAGGGAACGGGAGAAAAACCAGTATGTGACAGAGGTGGCGCTCAGCCATTTTATTCGTGAGCAGGCGACTACGGGGGATGACCATCACTCCCTAGCCATCCTGACCCCTGCTCAGGAGCCGCTGGCATCACCATCCAGAGTTTTTAGTTTTGAGTCACAGTTGAAGCCAGAAGAAAGGAGAAAAGAGGTGGAGCCAAAAATGGAAGCTAAGTCCACGAGGTGGGGAGCTAGGCAGCCCCCTTCAAGTAGCTCAGGCCTGGCAGCTTGTGCTGGGCTTGTCTGGAAGATTCCTCCGGTGGAGGCTAAACACCTTGGGAAGCAAGTCCCAGCACGAGTAGGGCTTGTGGGTTTGCGGGGCTGCACCGCCAGTGTCAACTCCAACCACACACAGGAGCAAGGCGCCAGGTTCTGGGTTTCTGAAGGCGTCTGCTCACATCAGGCGGCAGCTGTCACTGGTGCAGGGCAGGGGTGTTCGCCCTGGGTGAAGCCAAGTGGGACTGGGCAGGCGCAATGCTGCCAGCCCACGCTATCCCAAGGCACCGCCTCACTCCTCCCAAGGGCTCATGTCGGTGTCGATGGCCACACAGTTGTAGGCAGCGTAGCGGAGCTTCTCCTCACACACTTTGGCACTGCGGGGTTGAGGTCTTGCTCAGCCCCCTTCACCACTCCCAGGGGGATGGGCCTCCAGCCTGTACACTTCTGTGCCAGAAGTCCTCCCCCACCAAGGACACCATCTTCTCCTGCCCCCTGGCTTGAGCCTAGGAAAACTCACCTGACATAGTGTGGCAGGAAGAGGGTGCTGGAGCAGGTGGAAGACTCAGGCAGTGCATCTGTGGTCTCGTAGCTGGAGGTAGACAGGGACACAGAGTAGGATGATTTATGTCTGTGCAGGAGGCCGGCTGCAGCACCTGCAGACCCCACCTCCGCACTCACCCCAGTTTGTCTGGGTAGATGTAAATCCGTGCTGGTAGGCGGCTGCGGCCCGTGACAAAGCGCAGGAAGCGGCTCCGGTCCTCTGGATGGACGAGGAGGAAATCAGCGTGTATGCTAGCAGTAGGGGAGGTTCTGCAGCTTCTACCCTGCCCCTGTCCTGCAAGTGGCGCCCCGCCCTCCTGCACTGACCGTTGGTGAAGTTGTTCAGTGCTTCCCAGAAATACTGCACCCGTGTATCAGATGGTTCGAAGTCCTCAAACCGAGCTGGAGGAGACAGGACCAGACTTCCTTCTTAGGTCTCAGCCATCCCAGTCCTCAAGACCCACCCTCCCGCACTGTGCTCCTGCGCGGCCCTGTCCTGGCCCCACACACCCCTCTGTGTGGAACTCACTGAGCTTGCGCAGAGCGTCCACAGTGACCTCGGGGTCCCCGCACACTTTCTTCTCCAACTCTTGCCAGGTCAGCAAGTCCAACACAGCCTGTGGCACCACCTTTAGCAGACCTGCCTGCATGGCTGCCACCTGGTGGTAGGGGGGGATGCCTGACTGAGGAAGAGGGCACAACTCCCAGCTTATACTGTGGGCATCTGCAGCCCTCTGATAAGCAGTAACGTGGGACACAGGATGGTGGGGGCCGGAGTTTCCAGGATAGGTTCTGATGGCCTGTCGGGCTGGGCTCTGGCTACTAAGGGCTGGGGCTCAAGAAGGTCCAAAGCTCTCTGATCCGCCGGCCCTCACGCACTACCTGCTCCTTGCTCTCCTCTAGGCGTGCCTTCTGCACCAGTCGGATGAAACGAGAGCGGTCTTCATAGCCCACCACGATGCCTGTGCCCCCGGGGACCAGCTCCACCACCTGCTGGTCACTCAGCACAGTGGTGAATGTTAGCTCCTTCCCAAATTTGAACTCAAATGTCTCCTTGTCCATTCCTTCCATCACTTCCAGGAGCTTCACCTGGGAGACAAGGGGACAGAGGCAAGGAGATCAGCCTTTCGCTGTAGACACACTCCCTGTCTTTCCTTGAGGTGCTCTCGGGGAAGCAGCAGAGAGAGCCGGGCAAGGCAGCCTCAGGCAGGCAATGGGTGTGAGGATGCCGCACGTGGAGACCAGGAAAGGCACCAGGCTGAACCTAAATAATGATGCCTGGGAGCTGGCTGAGTCTTACAGGAAGACAGAGAACATCTTGGAGAAAGTTAGAGCAAAAGGTCCGAGGAATCTCTTTGGCTGTAGTCTGAATGTGAACCAAGGGGCTAGGGACACAGGGACCACGGAGGCCTTCACAGAGCCCTCTGAGAGTTCAAACAAGGTCAGGGAAGTCATTACGTTGGCTGCATGGAGACCAGGTGGGAGGAACGGAGACAGGGACGCTGGCTTCTATAGTAAGTGGTTAGGTCAGAAAGGTGGCCTGAAGTAGGGGGCAGTAGTGAGATGGACGTGTGGAAAGACCAGGAGGGAGACTTGACAGAATGTGAGGGGAGAGGGAGGGAGAAGAGTGAAGGTGACCCTGGGAGCTTGGCATGGGGAGAAGCGGGAGCAATGCCATCTGAGACAGGGAGCCACGGAGGGCAGCAGACTGGGGAGCCGAGGAAGAGCGCTGAGCCAGAGGTGCTGCCTTGGAACAAATGCCCAGGATGCAGGTGCATCTGGGTCCCTGTGCTTAGGAGAGGGGCTGAGGCTGGCGGTCAGGGCTTTATCGTGATAGAGACAGTAGTTAAAGCCATGGGAGTAGATGGGACTGGAGAGGGAGCAGGTGTATGGTAGAAGAGGGTGCAGGACAGCCCAGGCGAGGACGAACTCTAGGGACAGGGCAGAGCGAACACTGGTCCCAGACCCTACTCACCAGCACAGAGTCCACGGCTGGGAAGTCCTTGCTCCAGCTCACCTCCTCCCCAGAGAGCTGCTTCCACACGAAACCGGGCAGAGCCAGGACCTGTGTGACAAACACATGCCACCGCCTGCCCACCCTGAGCGGCCCGGGTTTGCTGACTCTCCTCCTGCTCGCTAGGATGTGGATGAGGCTACTCACCAGGAACTCCTTACCCCGCAGGGCAGCCCCCATCAGCTGTCCAATCCACTCATACTTGGCAAAATCTCGGCAGGAGGGGTTGGGCACATACATGTCGCGGGCCTCGCCAGTGCCATTGCCCTGGCCCAGAGACAGAGCTGTTAGCACGGCATGGGACGACTGCTTCCCTGCCCCAGCTGCCTATCTTCCATTAGGGGTCCTGAATGCCTCCCCCTCGCCCCAAATGTCCAATGGCTGCTCCTCTCCTTGTTAGCTTGGCGGGTTCACTGGGCAGCCCCTCCCTCTTCTGCTCCCTTTGCTAGCTCAGTCTGGATTTGCAGAGACAGAAGAGCAGAAACAACCTGGGAGGTTACCTGATTGGCCGTGCGCACAAAGAAGGGCAGAGGCACAGGGGTGTCGGCTGAGCTGGGGCACAGCTCTTCTGACATGTCTGCCAGACTGTCCCGGAAACCGCCACCTGAAACGACAGGCGCCCTCGGCGGGTACTCACACTCGTGTCCTCCTCAAGTGGCAGCCCTAGAAGCCCCTGCCATTCCAACAGGGCGACGGGCAGGACCTGCCGCCCTCCCTCAGGGCCTCACCTTGATCAATGATGCCTTCTGCGATGAATTTGCACTCCCACCACTGGTCATAG